TTCTGTAAGTTAAATCTGTAGTAGTGGAATTGATGGTAAAAGAACACACTTTTAAGAGAATTGTGAAATCACCCTCCAGAAAGTTGAATGAGTTTATTTACACTTATTAAACTTTACTAACCCTCTAGCTCATGAGAGTTTTGGGTTATTTTTAAGATTTTATTAATTTATTTGAGAGAGGCATGTGTGTGCATGCATGGTGGGGGTGAGGCTGAGGGAGAGCGAGCATGCCAAGCAGACTCCTCACTGAGTGTGGAGCCTGATGTAGGCATCAGTCCCCCAACACTGAGATCATGACCCAAGCCTAAATGAAGTCAGATGCTTAACCAGCTAAGCCACCCAGGTGCCCCAGGAGTTGTTTTGATTTGTGTTTTGTTTGTGTTGTTTTCTGTTTTTGTTTTGATTTGCATTTTTAAGTTTAAAGTTTGAACATCTTTTTCTGTGTTACTTGGCCATTTTTTGTATATATTTTCCTTTGCCTATTTTTCTGTTGGATTGGGTTATTTCTATTTTATTTATTTTGGTATATGAAAATTTCCTATATGGCAGGCACTGTGTTAGTTCTAAGAATGTGGCAGGGAGCGGAAAACATTGGTTCCTACCTTCCTAGACCTTAGCATCATTCTAAAATGTTAAATTTTAGCTATAAATGTCATAAGCGGGGCACCTGGGTGGCTCAGTTGGTTAGGCATCTGCTTTTGGCTCAGGTCATGGTTCCAGGGTCCTGGGATTGAGCCCTGCATCGGCCTGCCTCCTCAGCGGGGAGTCTGCTTCTCCCTCTGCCTGCCATTCACCCTGCTTGTGCTCTCTCTGTCAGATGAATAAATAAAATCTTATAAAATGAAATAAATGTGACAAGAGTTTACGTTTTTCCTTTCCAAAGATAAAAGTACCCTGATCTAGTGTGTGGTAATTTTGCTTAAAGGAAATTATCAATTCTTCATTTTGAAACTTACCTGTCTTTATGGGTTCAAGTTTTTACATCCTACTTTAAGAAGTCTTCTTGTCAAAATCTACCCTGTGAGTAAGCTGATGTAAACATTTTTGGAAGATAGTGTGGCAGTATCACTCTTTGACCCATTCCCCTTCTTGGAATTTATCCAAGATATGAATATATTTGTACAGGGGTATTATAGTATTGTCCTGGTAGTAAAAAAACAGGAGACAACTAAAAAAAATTTCTATGGAAGTATAAGTTACAGCACATCCACATAATAGTATACTATGAAGCTGTTAAGGAAAACGTTCAGTCTGTATTTTGAAACTGAAAGCTGTCTATATAAAGAGAAAAAAAGCAAGTTGCAAAACTGGATGATACCATTTTGTTAAGAGAGAGATGCATACACATAGGATAATTACATGTATATTTGTGCACATACATTTGTATAGGTTGTATCTGGAAAGATATGCCATTGTTTTTTACTTTTAAAAGGACTTATTTATTTACTTTAGAGAGCGCACATGCACACATGGGCAGAGAGGCAGAGGGAGAGGGGAACCAGACTCCCCACTGAATGTGGAGCCCATCGTGGGGCTTGATCCCATGACTCGAGCGAAACCAAGAGTCAGGTGCCCAACCGAGCTACGCAGGCACCCCCCTCAAAGGCCTTTTTCTGGGGAGGTAGGAGCATTACTTGTTGGTAGTTTAAATAATTCTGAACACTTTGTTTTCCTAATCATTAAGTATGTATAAAAAGTTTTACTCTACAAAAAGACACAAAGTACAGAGCCCTAGTACATCTTTAAAAAAAACAAAACTATTTCTGATGTTTATACTGTCCTAGAATAGGGAAAGACAAATTTCCCTACTGTAAAGTTAGCAGAACCATGATATGATACATAAGCCTGAAAAAGTGAGCATTTACACAGATACCAGTTAACTTATAGAGATACAGCACTTAGAAAAGCAACTGATAAATTGACTATGGCATACAGTACAACTAGAACATGACATCAGGAAATAGGAATTTTTACAGAATGTATACTTAGTGATCTGTAAAGTAATTATCTTAATAGATTGAAGGAAAAAAGAACCTGAAGAACCATTTTAGGGGTTTGCTTAGTATTTCCATGCCCACTGGAAAGAGTTCAAGGCAGAGCAATAGCTACTGCCCATCACAGCCCTCCCCACATCAGCAAATTACCCAAGTGCAGATAAGCCCACAGTTGATCACCAAACACCTGAGGAAAGCCAGCACAATGAAAAGGACAACTTCAACAAATAAAGGAGCCTCATTAATCAGGATTAATAAAGCAATTAGAATAAGAATCAGTGTGGGACAATCAGTACAGTAGATGCTCCTTTAACTGACTTGTATAGCATTAGCTAATATTAAGTTCCACGGTATGGTGCTTGCTGGCTCTCCTCCAGTGTAACTGCGCATTATGCTCACTGCAGTGGATTGCAGTGGATTTATCATGAGCCAGTTGTACTTACTACAATTTACTTACTTCATAATTGTATTAAATACTGCATAAAATTGGTTTCGGAAGGAAAAGAAATAGATTCTTATGTCAGTATATTCCAAATGGATTAAAAATGTAATTAGAAACAAATACAGACACACAAACTTGTACACAGTGTGGATGAACTTGCAAACATGCTAAGTGAAAAAAGCCGGGCACAAAAGGCCACAGACTATATGATTCTATTGATTTGAAATGTCGGGGCACCTGGGTGGCTCAGTGGGTTAAAGCCTCTCTGCCTTTGGCTTGGGTCATGATCCCAGGGTCCTGGGATCGAGCCCCGAATCAGTCTCTCTGCTCAGCGGGGAGCCTGCTTCCTCCTCTCTCTCTGCCTGCCTCTCTGCTTACTTGTGATCTCTATCTGTCAAATAAATAAATAAATAAATCTTAAAAAAAAAAATGTCCAGAGTAGGCAAATACAGAGATAGAGAAGGTTAATAGTTGCCAGGGGCTGGAGAGAGGGAGCCGTGAGGAGGGCCTGGTAACAGGTTCACATTTTCTTAGTGGAGTAATGCACTTGTTCTTGAATTAGGTGGTAGTAATGGTTGCACAGCTCTGAATATACAAACAAAAAACTGTACACTTTAGGAGTTATTTGTGTGTATGTTTGTGTGCACGTGCGAATCACAACTCAGTAAAGCTGTTAAACAAGAGAGACCATTTTATAATCTCACATTGATAATACATTTTAAAGCATGATAGGAAACTCAAAAGCAGTAAACCAGTTTGACTCCACAAACATTAAAATCCTGCACATATATGTAATGAGTAATAAAATTTAAAAAGTTAAAAATTTAATTTTAGTGTTCCTGGATGGCTCAGTGGGTTAAAGCCTCTGCCTCCGGCTCTGGTCATGATCCCAGGGTCCTGGAATCAAGCCCCACATCCAGCTCTCTTGTCAGTGGGGAGCCTGCTTCCCTCCCTCTCTCTGCCTGCCTCTCTGCCTATTTGTGATCTCTGTCAAATAAATAAGTAAAATCTTAAAAAATTAATTTTAAAATTAAAGCTTGTTGCCATTTCAAGGTTATAAAAATGTTCAACCCTGTTTTTTTCTAGACTATTAATGTGTTATTTTTACATTTTGCCATTTGGCAAAAAGTAAAGATGGATCCCTACTGCATTCTTCACATCAAAATGAATTCCGACTGTAAATAAGATATTTAGTTAATAGTTCTAATACTATTTATTGAGTAATTCATCTTTTCCTCATGGTTATGAATTGCTCCCTGTTTTGGGGTCTCTTTCTGGACTTGGTTTTTCTATTTCTATGCTAGCACTAGGCTGCTTTCATTACACCAAGTTTGTTTTATAATTTGGTGGGACTGGGCCTTCCTTCTCCTCTCTTGCCCTCCTTTTTCACATCTCCTCTTTAATCCTTTTCAAAAATTTCTAGGAATTTTGCACATTTTGGTCCCAAGATTTGTTTTTTTCTAGATTTTTTTTTTTTTTTAATTTATTTATTTGTCAGAGAGAGCGAGCACAAGCAGGCAGAGTGGCAGGCAGAGGCAGAGGGAGAAGCAGGCTCCCCGCTGAGCAAGGAGCCCCAGGCAGGACTCCATCCCAGGAGCCTTGGATCATAACCCGAGCCACTTAAATGACTGAGCCACCCAGGCGTCCCTGTTTTTTTCAATTTAATAAAAATAATGGCTTTTGATTGGTACTGCATTCACTTTCAGACTAATTTAGGGAAAATTGCGTTCATTACGCTATTGAATTTTTCTGTCTAAAAATAAAGAATTACTCCATTTATTAACCTATATCCTTTATGATAATTTTGCGATTTCTACTTAGGTTTGCACATTCCTTAAGTTTAGTCTTAGATATTCCATGCCTTTCTTATTTTAAAATTTTGTTTTTAAGTAGTCTCTACACCCAGTGTGGGGCTCAAACCTACAACCCCAAGATCAAAAGTTACATGCTTTCCCAGCCTGAGCCAGCCCGGTGTCCTATGCCTTCCATGTTTTTGATGGGATCTTTCTGACATGGGTATTGTATTTTGTTCGGAGAACCAAGTGGTTACATTTTTTGTAACCACTTGTTTGCCCAGTGAACTCCATTCCATATTCATGGCCGGATGTGACCCGGCAGTTACCTCAGGAAAAAGCTGTCCAACAGAGTTCGTTTAACATGAGCAATTTAGGGCTCAGTGGGTTAAAACTACTCTGCCTTCGGCTCAGGTCATGATCTCAAGGGTCTTGGGATAGAGCCCCACATCGGGCTCTGTGCTCAGCAGAGAGCCTGCTTCCCTCTCTCTCTCTGCCTGCTTCTCTGCCTACTTGTGATCTCTGTCTGTCAAATAAATAAATAAAATCTTTAAAAAAAAAATGAGCAATTTAACTTCTGAAATAATACCTCAGGTTGTGTTTTTCATATTACTGCCTTTTGTGGGGGCTTTTTGTTTTGTTTTTAAGTTCTTAGTTTATTAATCCTCTCATGAAAAATCTGCACAGTCTTCACAGATAAGTCACTGCAGAATCTACTCTTTTTTGCCAGCACCAACATTGGCTTTTGCTGTCCCCTTGACTTTCTTCATTCTGTTCTTGTGTTCCTTTTGCTGTTTTCTTGAGGTTTTTTTTCTTCTCATATACGCCATGTCTTGCAAGTCTGTTTGGGTTCATTTTTCTTTGCATAATCCAAGGAATCATAAATCATACCAAAGCCACTTGTCTTGCCACCACCAAGATGGGTTCTAAATTCAAATACAAAGATGACATCTGGTGTGGTCTTATACATTTTGGCTAGCTGTTTTGTGAATTTCTGTCTTAGCTACTGTTGCCTTTCTGGGGTGAAGAACATCAGTGACCATTTGTTTCTGCTGAAGTAGTAGGTTGGTCATGAACTTCGGGGTCCTGAAAGTTATTGTTTCGTTTTTGATGGTGGCCAAGCTTCAAGCAGCCAGTGAGGAAAAGAACCATGTTGCTACCTTTTGTACGTAGGATGGACTCTAATTTGAATTGTAGCTTTTGTTGTTTTGTTTTTTCCTAACATTTAATCCTTTGTTTCTTGGTCACATTGATGTTTTAGCACTTTGGGAGTAAGAGAAATTGTGTATACCAGGTGCATTTTTTCCTTTTTGGTTCATTAGTTTCATGAATGCAAGTGGGTAAAGAATAATGGATTTAATTCTCATTTTAAGAAGTTTTCTGGGTAATTCTTGGCCAATGGGTATTAAAGGGAAAGATGAAGGGAAATGGCCAATGGGTATTAAAAGGGAAAAACAAGCTGCTTTTGTAGAGGAAAGATAATAGGTATTCTGCTTTGGATGTAGTACAGCGTAATAGTTAGTGGTTCACTTTCTGTGGTCCTATAACCATGATCACAATCAGAATCTTCACTTTGCATATGCTAGTTAAGGGTACTTGGGAAAGTTCCTTAACCTCCCTAAGGTTCCTGTCTCCATTTGTAAAGAAGGGATGCTAACACAGGGTAGTTATAAGGATGAAATGAGATGTATTAGTGCTTGGTTTATGATAGTGCTCTTTGACTGCCATTTTACTTCTGGTCCCAGTGAGATGTGTTTATCTTCGTGAAGGGTTCTCCTTGAAGATGCAGGCAGGGCCTTTCTATTGCATTGGAAATCCTTGTTTATCATCTGAAAGTGAAAACAAAAATACAGTTAAGAGGAAAAAATATATAATAACTTAAAATCCCCAAAACACTACTATCCATAGATAATAAAATTGTTAGCAAGGACACCTCTTTCCTGTGATACTAGATTGGAATTGGGGTCCATATCCCCTTGATAGAGGAAACTGCTCTCTTATTTGAGGAGTCTCAATTAAGGATGCTGGGCCTAAAGTTTAATCTTTTGTTATCAGGGGCATTATTCTGTATAAAATTTGTTCCTCAAATGCAGTATCTCAAATGTTGGGATTCCTTATCTTCTGTTTGGGTTCATTCTCCCCAGTAGACACAAGGCTGTTCTTAGGTAACTATGGGATCTTGTAAACACAGGCAACTGCATGCTCTATTTCTAGTTTAGAGGCCCTAAATCCTTACTTCCTACTCTTATCAAGCTGCAACAAGGGATTCCCTTTCTGTCTCTGTATGCTTAAAGCCCAGACCAGAACCAGGCAAACAGGCACTCTTCCCTGTTTACTATATCCTGATCTTTGCTCTTAAGTGTTTCAAATTGGGGGCCTTCTGGTGGGAGACTAACAGAAGGAAGATAGGTTTTTCATACCCTTGTCTGCCCATCCTCAGAAAGACCCACAAAATACACCATTCCACTCCTGGGACAGTCACTTCGTTGTGCTCTTTTTTGTCCTTTTGTATCAGTGTGTACCAGGGGCCATTCTCCGGAGTTAGAAAGGGAGAAAAAGGAGCTGGGTAAAATAAGTGGCTAACAGTATCTTTTCTTCCCATTTTAACTCAGTAGGCTTGTCAGACTGAGGGTTAACTAGGTTGTTGCTCTGCCCATTCAGCATCAATGAATAAATACCATAAGTCAGCACTTCTGTGAGCCTCTCAGCCTTCCCTCAGCTTCTTTCTATTTCCTTAGAAATAATGTTCTGGTTCTACTTTCCTAGGACTTTTTCAGGTATGTTTCTTCAGTGGATCCTCTGGGAAGCCACCTGAAGACTATCCTGTATTCTGGCCAAGGTCACCCTTGTTTCCCCTTTTAAAATGTGCCTCCCCGGTTGTTACCCAGTTCACCTTACAGGGTTATTTGGTATCAGAAGTATAACAACACTGCCCAATTGTATGATATTAAAAATGCCTTAGAATTTGTTATGAGATGTGAAATTTACACACATTTACCAAAGAACACAGTGACAGTGATCTCAACAATTAAATTGTAATTGTGATTTTTAAAAAGATAATGCCTTCAGTCACCAAATGTAATAGACATTTAACCAGGTGATTAAACCCTTTAGGTATCACTCCTCAGGAGATAGGATTCATCTTTAAGGTTAAGCTATTGAAGGATGTCAGTCTTTATTTCAGCTAGCGATTCCCTAATAGTGCATCAGTAGCTTAAAAAGCCAATGCGAAATATTACCTTCGGGCATTTCTCTCTTTCTCTCTCTCTCTTTTTTTTAAAGATTTTATTTATTTGACAGAGAGAGAGAGCACAAGCAGGCAGAGTGGCAGGCAAAAGCAGGCTTCTCGCTGAGCAGCAAGCCCAGTGAGGGGCTTGATCTCCCAGGACCCTGGGATCATGATCTGAGCTGAAGGCAGATGCTTAACCAATGGAGCCACCCAGGCATCCCTAGATAGGATCAGACTTGAGTTGAATTTTCGGACTGCCTGCTGGTATCCAAGAATTGCTTTGTGTTATGGGTGGGAGGAACATACCCCCATGCTAGAACTGGGTCCAGAATCTCATTTCTATTTGTTGGTGGAGTGCTGTTGTACATGTTAACTTTATGGCTTGATGGGTCATTTAACATCCAGTTCATGAGGGGTATTTTCTGCTTGTTCCTATTATGTTCCACCAATGTCAAACTGATACATTCTTTTGTTTCTTGAAAGTCATCTGGATTGGCCACGTTTAAAAAAAAAAATTCAATGGAGTAAATTTAAAGATCTAATTGACTTTATTAATTGATTCATGTATCAGGAGGCATTCCATGTAGTAAGTAGAAGAGTTCTCTGGGCATTTCTCTTTAGATTGGAATGGTGAAGGCCTGATCTATTTTATTTTACCCTTTACAAAACGTAACTTTTAAAAGATTTCTTTGTAGCATAATATGGTATTATAGGTTAAATGTGTGGTAAGTGTCATGTATAGGTTAGGTATTGGGAGAATGACTTTTTCTGGGAATATTTTTTCCACTGTAATTTTTCTTCCTTTATTTAAGGATTCCTAGATGAGGTTATGAAGAAGTATGGCAGTTTGGTCCCACTCAGTGAAAAAGATGTCCTTGGAAGACTAAAAGACGTCTTTAATGAAGACTTTTCTAATAGGTTTGTCAATGATGCTTAAGTTAAGCCCTTGAAAATAAAATTGTTGGTATATATGACTTTTCTCTTAATTAAAAAAAGAAGACTTAGCAATAAATTGAGTAGAACTCATGTCTCTTTTCTTTCAAAATCTTTCTTTTTCAGAAAACCATTTATCAATAGAGAAATAACAAACTATCGGGCCAGACATCAAAAATGCAACTTCCGCATCTTCTATAATAAGCACATGCTAGATATGGATGATCTGGCAACTCTGGATGGTCAGAATTGGTTGAATGACCAGGTTAGTATATTGTGGGTTCTTGGTGTGGAAAAGTTGCAGAGGATGTTGGACCATAAAATATAATTAATCTTTGGGTTGGCCTCGCAGTTATCTTTGAGAATCAAAGATTCTTTACCCTTACTGAAGTGATTCATTCACTAACCCCAGTATCCAAATGGTAAACTGTCAGTGTTACTCATTCTGTGTGGGATGTTATGAATTGTATAGGGTTAGTAAGCTGGTTTTATGTTGACTTTTTATAGGTCATTAATATGTATGGTGAGCTGATAATGGATGCAGTCCCAGACAAAGTAAGTGCAAAGTTACTCTTCTTCAGGAGAGAGAACCCTTGTGTATCAAAATGAGATTTTTTAACTTTATGTATTTATTTGATATTCCTTAGATTTTTTTTTAAGATGTTTTTATTTATTTACTTGTCAGAGAGTGAGTGAGCACAAGCAGGGGGAGTGGCAGGCAGAGAGAGAAGCAGGCTCCCCACCGAGCAAAGAGCCCAGTGGGGGATTGGTCCTGGGATCATGACCTGAGCTGAAGGCAGATGCTTAACTGACTGAGCCACCCAGGCATCCCTGACATTCCTTAAAAAAAAATTTTTTTTAAGATTTTATTTATTTATTTGACAGAGAGATCAAAAGTAGGCAGAGAGGCAGGCGGAGAGAAAAGGGGAAGCAGGCTCCCTGCTGAGCAGAGAGCCAGACATGGGGCTCGATCCCAGAACCCTGAGATCATGACCTGAACTGAAGGTAGAGGCTTAACCCACTGAGCCACCCAGGCGCCCCGACATTCCTTAGATTTTTAAAAGTGTTCGATTTTGCCTTGTTCAGGTACTAGAGTTCGGCAGAAGTTCTCTACAATATTCTAGTATAAAAAAGTCCGATGCCATCATTTTCTTCATATTTGTTTCAAAGTGGGTATGCTGATTCTTCAGGAGACCTTTTTTTTTTTTTTTAAAGATTTTCTTTTTAAGTAATCTCTATACCCAACATGGGGCTTGAACTCACAACCCTGAGATCAAGAATCACATGCTCCACTGACTGAGCCAGCCAGACACCCCAAGGAGGCTTTTTTAAAAATGGTGTTAAGAGGGTGCCTGGGTGGCTTAATTATTAAGCATCTGCCTTCGGCTCAGGTTGTGATCCCAGGGTCCTGGGATTGAGGCTCACATCAGGCTCCTTGCTTGGTGGGAGGCCTGCTTCTCCCTCCCCCACTCCCCCGGCTTTTGTTTCCTCTCTCTCTCTCTCTCTCTCTCTCTCTCTGTCAAATAAATAAATAAATAATCTTTTAAAAATAAAAAAAATTAAAAAGGTATTAAGAAATAAATGTTAACTGAGTACATTTAAGAATCTTACTGGCTTTATTCAAGTGATTCATGAACTGGGCAGCATCTTACTAACAGGTAAAATGGAGCTTTGAAGACCCATACAGAATACAAGACTTACAAGGCAGAAGGGGCAGGACAATGAAGTTACTAGCAAAGAGCAGATTGGTTGCAGCGAAGTCACCTTCCTCTAGGGGAAGACAGGGTCTAACAAGCAGATTACCTCAGTAGTGCTGACCAGGTAATTCTATTAAGACTCTGCAGTCCTGAGAGAGAGTGAAGTTGCAGTTAGGTTAGGTATTTTGGGTTTGGTGACATGGGCTAAGCATAAGTCAACACTAAGTTAGATTCCATTTTGGGCTTGCTGTCTCTTTTTTAACAGTGGAGAGATACACAAAAGGGATATATTATTATTATTTTTTAAAGATTTTATTTATTTATTTATTTGACAGACAGAGATCACAAGTAGGCAGAGAGGCAGGGAGAGAGAAGGGGAAGCAGGCTCCCTGCTGAGCAGAGAGCCCAACTCGGGGCTCGATCCCAGGACCCTGGGATCATGACCTGAGCCTAAGGCAGAGGCTTTAACCCACTGAGCCACCCAGGCGCCCCAGCTTTAAGCTTTTAATTTAAAGTTTCGTTCTCTTTAAAGATCTAATATAGTAGTATTCATTATCACTTTTTTTATAGATTAATCTTTGATACTGTGTTTAAATACAGACAAACCTGGGGCACTTGGGTGGTTCAGTCAGTTAAGTGGCTGCCTTCGGCTCAGGTCATGATCTCAGGGTCCTGGGATTGAGCCCCACATCAGGCTTCTTGCTCAGTGGGGAGCCTGCTTCTCCCTCTGCCTGCTGCTCCCCCTGTTTGTGTTTGTTCTCCCCCCCGCCTCTGTGTCAAATAATGAATGAATGAGAGAAATTGTAAACAAAAAAAGAAAAAAAATTAAAACAAAAAACCAACCCCCCCCCAAAAAAAAACCCTCCTTGAACTCTAAAATTCTCATAAGAACTTAGATACTATTGGGGCGCCTGGGTGGCTCAGAAGGTTGAAGCCTCTGCCTTCGGCTCAGGTCATGATCCCAGGGTCC